GAGTATATACTCGTGTATACCCGTTGGCCGTGCGCCCGAGCTGTAAGCTCGGTTGCATCGAATAAGGGGGCCGATAAAGTTGTATATAAAGTTATCAAACTTATCTCGGGACGGTCTCGAATAATCGTATCGATGTATGTACACGTTCGGTTTAATAATAACATCCCGAAATTCCGTGATATACGCATTCCGATATACGCGCGAATCGAGGCCTTGGCCACGAATCGGTTCCTCGATCGGATCCCGTTTGTCCCGGCTACGTAAATCCGGATGATAATAATTTATCGGAAGACCCTTTTTTACACCCGTCCCGCTCCCAAACAACAATCTTTTTTCTTCTCCCTTCGTTCGTTGCGCGTTCCCTTCCGCGGCATCGAGTCGGCTCGGCCTCTCCTTTGCAAATTTTTCACTCTCCCACGTTCAACGTATACCCTTACTTCTTATTATTCCACCATATTTCCCTTCCTCTTCGTCCAACTAGATACACGTTAAATTTTTATCTCGCTTCCTAGGATATTCTGAATATTCTGAATTTAGAAATTATATGAATTGGATTATATTATTTATATATATTAATATATATATATATATTAATTATATGGAATTAATTTATTATTAATTTATTATTATTGTATGGAATTATATGGATACATTTGGTAAGTGAATGACCATAATCGTTCATAAACAAACTCTTACTTTCCCTAAGATAATTGTGTAATATACAAGATAAGATATTCTCGATATTCATGTTATATCGCGAGTTTTCTCGAAAAATTATATTCTCGATAATAATATAATAATCTCGTCCCGGGTGAAAATCCGTGGGGAGTGGCCTCCCGCCGCGGGAGGTTGAACAATGAAAAAGCGGTAATAATAAAACGCGGACCAGTAGTCCCGGCTAACAACGTGTGAAGCGAGGTTGGCGATGCGAGTGGTCGACCTGGGTCCTAGGCACGTAGTGTGCGCGCAAGAGGGAAAAAAGGGATGGATAAAGTGGGGCAGAAAGGGGGTGGGCCG